AAACATATATATGGCAGCTATAGCTATAACTGAACCGATTTTCATCAAATTTGAAGCACATGCTTATAGGTTGATTTCGGTCGGATGTAGCAAAATTCACACCATTTGGACAGATATTAGGCATTTGGTGCACAAGAAACATGTAATCGAATGAAGATATATATGGGAGCTATATCTAAATTTGAACCGATTTTTACCAATTTCAATAGGGTTCGTACTTGAGTCAAACAAATGTTATTTACATTATTTAAAATATAAATAAAAATTATTTAAAAATACATAGACAGACGGACGGACATGTATAAATCGACTCAATATATGATTCTATGCTGATCATCAAACAAAACACCAAAACTATGAGTCTATCTCGTTTCCTTCTCCATGTTACAAACAAATGCACAAAGACATAGTACCCTTACCACTATGTGGTGTAGGGTATAAATACAGAGGAAAAGCGGTGTCATATTTTTTTGCTGCATTAAAATCTGCTGGAAATCGCCAGAGGGTAGGGTATAACAATTTTGATACTAGAAAATAAATATATATATTTTTGAAAGAATTATTTTATTTTGAATTAAAAAAGAAAATAACCACAAACTGTCTAAAACATTTATAAACAAATAAAATATAGAATGTAATATAATTTAAAAAAGTCTAATATTGAGATTTAGTAATTAAAAAATCAGGTTTTGTACAAGGTTATTTTAAATATTTATTTTTTTAAATTCTTGAAATATTAAAAAAATATTTTTTTTGTATTTAAAAAAAGAATATTTTAAATATTTATTTTCTTAAATTCTTCAAATAAAATATGTTTTAAATACTAATTAAATAATTTTTTTTCGGTATTTAAAAATAATTTTTGAGAAAGAAATTAGGTATTAAAAATCCACTTTTTTTTTTTGGGAAAAATATTTAAAATTAAAACGTTTTAAATGAAAATTATTTTAAAAAAATAATAATTTTGAGATTCAAAAAAAAATAATATAAAAAAGTTGATATTAGAAAAAAATTAAATATATATTTTTCGGCAAGAAATATTTTTTTTTTATTTTTAATTTCAACATTTCTTTTGAACAATCTATTCTCTAATCGAGTAAAAAAGTAGTAAGTTCGATCGGGCCGAACTTTGAATACCCTCCAATATTTGCAACGAATTTGGGTATTTTCAAAAAAATAAATACCGTTAAAAATTCTGTTAAAATCTTAAAAATACCGATTATAGCCGTTATATTGGGATCTATACGAAGACGTGGACCGGCATAGGCAACTTTTGTCATAAGCCATTACAATAATCAAATGCGAAACCTGAAAAAAATCGGTGAATAATGTCGCTAAAATCATCAAAATACCGAATATCGGGGGGTACCGTTATATGGGGCCATTATAGGGGAGCTATACCAAAACGTGGACCTACATGGCCCATTTCCAATACCGAAAGTCCTGCAGATATAATATACATTTGAGTAACATTTTATCAGACTACTTCATTTCGTTCGGGAGCTAGAGTGATTTCCACAGATGCACGGACATCGCTAAATCGACATAGAATTTAATGCTGATTAAGAATATATACTTTGTGGGGTCTAAAAGGTATATTTCGAGGTGTTACAAACGGAATGACCAACTCAATATAATATTTTTAAAAAATAACAAAAAAAAAATAAATATATTGTCCTTTTTATACCCTCAGCCATATGGTTACAGTGGGTATATATCATTTGTTACGGCCAAAACGTGCCTTATGGAAATAATGGTTTTAGACCCTAGGTCTCTTTAGACCAAATCCGTTTCAAGACATTTGGAGTCGATCTAGCGATGTACGTCCGTCCGTCTGTCTGTTTGGCTGCTGTGCACCTCTCGAAAGTAGTATCCGATTTGATCCAATCTTGGTACAATGTAATATTATTGTCAAACTTAGATCGATTTCGGAGATGGGCAATATCAGTCCATTCCTTCTGGTACCTCCCCCACGAATGGCAAAATTTTCAAAGAACACAATTTACTCCAAAGAAAGAGAAAGGATAATACGATTTTGCTCCAACTTTGCAAATCCTAATATTTGCAGCAGTCCTAGGTCAGGTGCCAAAATGGACAATATCTGTCCACTCCATCAAGTACCTTCCCCACAAAGTGTCAAAATTTTGAATAATTATAACTCTTATAAAATGTGATGTAGGTGTCCGATTATCTTCAAATTACACACATCATAATATTTTTATTAACCCAAAGTCTGGTGTGAAAATGGAATATATTGGTCTACTCCTTCTGGTGCCTCCCCCACAAAAGGTCGAAATTTTCGACAAATATATTTTCTGCACAGAAAGAGAAACGATAACCCGATTTTGATCGAACTTTGCAAACCCTAATATTTGCGTCGGTGGTAGGTCAGGCGCGAAAATGGACAATATGGGTCCACTCTATCAAGTACTTTACCCACAAAAGGTCAACATTTTGAATAATTTCAACTCTCATAAAATGTGATTTAAGAATCCGATTGTTTTAAAATTTCACACATCCCTTTATTTTAATAAAGCCAAGGTCTCGTGTGAAGATAGGATATATCGATATACTACCCCACAAAGGGTCAAAATTCCATTCGATTCCATTCAGACTTGGTACATCTCAATATTTCCATTCACAAAAGATGTGTTATAAAAATGGTAGAGATCGGACCATACCTTCTGGTACGTCCCCCACAAAGGGTCAACGTTTTTAATAACCAAAACCACCATACGACTCGAAAAAAGCATTCGATTCTCTTCAAATTTCACACATCCCATTATTTTTACTAACACAAGATGGGATATGTCGGTGATGATGGGATATGTCGGTCCACACCTCCAGGTACCTCCCCCAGAAAGGGTCAACATTTTGAATATCCTATAGCTCATAAACCGCGAAATTAACTTTCGATTCCATCGAGACTTAGTACATGTCAATATTTCCATGAGCATAAGATACGTTATAAAAATTGTAGATATCGGATAATTTCTTCTTTCTTCCTCCCACGAAGGGTTCAAGATTTTGGCAAAACAAAACGCTCAAAGAAAGCGAAATAAGCATCCAACTCCCTTCAAATTTCACAACTAGAAACGTTTTTGCTAACGGAAGATATGTTGTGAAGATGATATATATCCCTTCTGGTACCTCACCTACAAAGGGTCGAAATTTTCAGTACTTATATCTGTCAAAACATGCGAAACAAGGCGGTGATTCTATACAACTTGCTATATCTAATTATTTCTCTTAACGACAAATCTGATATGAATATTTTATCTATCGGAATTTATGATTTCGTATAAAATTGGATATGAGTGTCAGATTTTTTTCAACATACCTATTTTTTTATCTGTATTGGAAAAAATGAATATTTCGTTCCGTTCCGCATATTTCCATATTTTTCAAAAATTTGCACATCTCTCATATAAAGTATAGAAAGTAGTCGATATAGTCCAAAACTGGCACGTTGTAATTAGGTCAGATACGAATTGGTCAATATTGGCCAACTGCTTCGTAACCTTCCCCACAAAGGGTTAATAGTTTGGATAATACTATTTTACTTGTTAATTCCCATTTTTTTAAGAATCCTCTCTTCAAGCTCTGGACTTGTTTGAAAAAAATATTGAAAAAATAACACTGTTTAGCTTCCAAAACAAAAATAAAAAAATATAAAAAAATTGATTATTGCGTCCGAAAATATTTAGAATAAAAGTATTTTTTCTAATAATAAAAAATTAAAGGATTTATTTAAAAATTTTAAAGGGCCACATTTTAATACTGAAACTTTTTTTTAAGAACCCTCTCTTTAAAGTTTGGACTTGTTTAAAAAAATATTCAAAAATGACACTGTTTACCTTCGAATATAAAATATCCAAATATTTAATTTTTAATCAATTAAACCAATTGTACATAAAAAATATTTAAAATAATCAGGTTTAGTAAAAAAATGAAAAACAAAATATTTTTCAAAAAAAAATTCAAAACCTTCATATATAATTAATTTATATAATTATATATATAATTTTATTTTCTAAAATTATTTTATTTTTGTAAAAAAAATATATATAACAACTTTGTAAAAATATCCCATTTTTAGCCCTTCGCCTCTCCATTTCCATTAACATCCTTCATAGCTCCTCGGCAGAGTTCAAATAAATTAATTATGAAAACTTGGTCATCACTCAATAATTCCTCGCCAATTCAGAAGTTATTAAATCAATATTTCCTCTTCCAAAACTGGAAGATAGCCTCTGGCTTGCCCTGAGAAATTCCTAACACATGTCGATCCAAATTGAAGTGAGTATTCAGATGCAGCCTGGCATATCGGCAGAAGCAATCGAACAAAAGGTTAACCGGGGGGAGCGACGACTTAATGAAATAATGTATGAGCGTTAAGCTTAATTTCATTATCAGCGAATGGTTCGTCATGCAAAGCGGGCGAGAGGAAGAGCGAGCGAGCATTAAAGTCTGTTTATAGGAATTCTGGACATGGCTTTTCTGGGTATTACAAACCACCACCAGTAGCAGCTTTTGTTCGGGGATTTGTGGCAACAAAAAGAAGAAGGTAGAGTCTATCACAGACAGGACCAAAAAGGATATTGACATGATGAGTTTTAATTTTTGTTCAAGTGGTTTTTCGGACGCTTTTGTTGTTTCTTTTGTTTTGCAAGGATAATTTGAAACAAGATTGGCAAAAATGGAAATGTACGAAGTAGAGAGAGGGAGAGGAGTGGTAATTTTAGGACAATGGGATGCGCATGTCCTTGTGTCAGCATAGAAATCAACAAATGTTGCAATTTTTGTGTTTTTTTGTTGTTTGGGCCAAGAGGAAAGTGTGATGGCGGAATAATTGAATTGGAAATTAAATAAAAATGTGTTGCGATTTTCCTTTTTTGTTTAGCCTGAAGTTACGCCATGCAAATCTGGCCCAGCATTTGTCAAGTGTCCTTACTTTTCAAAGATGATAATTGAAACTTTTCTCATTGCTTTGCTTACAGATGTCAAGCGGGCACCGGCCGTTGCATTGTCGACAAAGCCCATCGGAATCAGTGTCAGGCCTGCCGTCTCAAGAAGTGCCTTCAAATGGGAATGAACAAGGATGGTAAGTCGATGAAGAGTGGTTATGAATATTTTGATTTGTTATTTGAAAAGGAAAAAAAGATACACACCCCCCACTCCAGCCGCTCTCCCTCTCTTTAAAAACCCCGTCGGCGTTTAACCTCAATGAAGTGGAAAATGATGAGCATAATAAATGTTAATGATGTAACGCCATTAACCAACCAGCCGCAGCCAGCTCCATAGGCATGTGCCCTCATCACCCTCTGCCTCTCTGAGGTAAAGGAGGGGTCCACGGCTGCCCGTTTTGCATGGATCCCACTCATTTGTGTTTTCTTTTTTTTGTTGTATTTTATCTTTAATTGCTGTAATTGCCAGAGACAAACAAGGACACGTGCCTTTTTGCCGTTGCTCCTGCTCCGGCTGCTGATGTTGTGTGTCAGTTTCAAATTGAGTGTCTCTCTTAAATACAAATCATTGTTGCGTGAAAATTGTGTGAAACTGGCGCTTGATGCGGCAAAAACAATAACAACAACACCAACACGGTGGTGTTATGATGTTGTTTACTTTTCCCAATCTAGGTGAGCATCACTCACCCCTTTCAGCGCGATGAGCACTTTTTGAACAGTGACGTCAAAGGGAGAAAATTTATTCTCAAGGAGAAAAAAAAATAGTTACCATTGTAGCCGCCAAAGGCCTCCAAAAATACACAATATGCTTAGAAGTCTATATATATAGCTACAAAAAAGATTTGAAAAAAAAAACCTTCTCGATAGGTTTTAAACAATATTCTTGAACAAAATCGAAGGCTATCGACTGATTTCTAAAACTCCAAAAAAAGTTTCATGCTTTCAAAGGGAAATAACTGTCTCCACAAAAGAAATCCTTAAAAAAATTAAATTTCCAGAAAAAAATTTTGAAAATACACGCCATCTGAAAAGAAAACCCTTTAAAAAAATTATTCTCTGCAGAAAAAAAAACTTTAATTAACCCTCGATACAAAAAAAAAAAAACTCAAAGAATCCTAAAAGAATTCATGACTCCAGGAAAAAATTCTTTAAATATGTATGTAGGTCTTAAGAATAAAATCCTTTTAAAATCCAAGCTCCAAGGAAAAAAAGGTCAAAAAATCTAGACCCGAGAAAAAATTCTAAATAAAATCGCATTCCAGAAAAAATGCTCAAACTATTTCAAACTCCAAGCAAAAATCTTTAATCAATCCACACCTCTACAAAAATATTTTTAAAAGAATTACATCTCCACAAATACAAAAAAAAAATACAATTCAAAAACATTTTAAAAATTCATGACTTCTGAAAAATACTTAAAAAACGAGGCCAGAAAAAATCCTCCTTCAATCCTTAAAAAACAATTTTTTAATTACTTATCTAAAAAAAGTTCTTAGAATTCATGTCTCCAGATAAAACTTTTTAAGGAATCCCCGCTTCAAAAATCTACATCTCTAAAATGTTGCTTTCAGAAAAAACATCCTTCAAAAATCCATATCTCCAGAAAAAATACTTAAAACTATCCACACCTCCAGAAAGAAATTCTTAAAAATATCCTCATCTCCTAAAAAAAACTTATAATCCTCCTCTGCAAAATAAAATAAAAAATTCGCTACTCCAGAAAAAACCACGCTCCTGAAAAATATTACTCAATAAATCAATGACCCCAGAAAAAAATGAAATATCCACTCCTCTTGAAAAAAGATCCTTACAATGTCCACGACGACAGAAACAATGTAAAAAATATCTACATCTTCAGAAAAAATTCTTCAAAAATATCTACCCCTCGTAAAAAAGTCCGAAAAAATCCTTAAAAATGACGACGACTCCCGATAAATATTTAAAAAATATTCACGATTCCAGAAAAAATGTTAATCATTTATCCTATCCACGCTTCCGAAAAAAATACGAACCCTTAAGAAAAAACGCCCTCAAAAAAAAAAAAAAATCAAAACTATCCACTCCACCTGAAAAAAATTTTTTAAAATATCCACGTTTCCGAAAATGAACTTAAAAGAAATCCGTAAACATATCCACGCTTACAGAAAAACATTCTGTAAAATATCCACGCCTTCAAATCCCTAAGAAATATCCACGTTTGTAGAATTTTTTCTTAATATCCAATCCTCCAGATAAATCGTTAAAAAATCTCTTTCTCTCGAAAAGAACGTATTTAAAGAATCCAAGCCTCCAGAGAAGTAGTCTTTAAATATTAGTCACCACCAGAAAAAATAGTTAAATTAAAAATCCCTATAAAATCCAGACTTCAGAAAAATGCTTAATAATCAAGACCTTAGGATTTTTTTGAAAAATCAACGCTTCCAGCAAATATTATTAAAAATGCATGGCCTTAAGAAAATCTCTAAACAAAAAAATCTACGCCTCTTTAAAAATTTTTCACAAATGCACATTTCTAAATAAATTCACTCGTCCAGAAAAAAATTCACGATTCCAAACCAAAATCCATCCCCAGATAAGAGATCTTTAAAAGTCCACATCTCTCAGACATCAGTGTCACCAGAAAGACAAATCCACGCCTCCAGAACAGTATTCTTAAAAGCCTTAAAATAACTCGCTTCGGATTTGGTCCAAATAGACCTAGGGTCTAAAACCGTTATTTCGATGAGCCACGTTGTGGCCGTATCAAATGATATATACCCTCGGTAGCCATATGGCTGAGAGTATACAAATTTTCAATAAAATTTATAAAAAAAAAAAAAAAAACTCGAAAAACCAACGACGGTAAAATGGATGATACATTTCCAAAAAAAATCCTTAAAAATATATGCTTTTGGCTATCATATGCCGACAGAAAAAAATCCTAAAAATTAAATCCAGCAAATTCTTTAAAAAAAATCCACAGTCTTAGCCTCCTCGACAAGTCTTAAAAAAAAACGATGATTGCCCCCTGAAACAAATTCCAAAAAAAAAAACATTTAAAAAACCCACGTTTTTAGCCATAAAAAATTCCTGAAAATATGAAAATGTACAGCTACGAAAGTCCTTCACAAAAAAAATGCTTAAAAAATCCAGGCTTATGACCCATTTGGATTCCAAAAAGCTCCAAGTTCATTCATATACGTTCGGAATTCGGATTTCGGAAAAAATTTTTCTCAACAAGAATAATTCCAAATTCCCAATTGCAGTCTCGTTACCTATCTATGGCCACCATAGGCACCTGGAAAATATACTTATGATCATAATATACTTCTAGAAAAAATCGTGACCATGATTTGCCTTCACAAAAATTCACCATTTTAGACATAGTAGATCTCCCGGAAAAAAAATAAAAAAAAATCTCTCATTTTTAGCCATAATAAGCCTCTGGAAAAATGGTCTGGAAGAGTCCATCCATATAGCTACGAACTACAAAAAGGACTACAAAAAGCCAAAAAAAAACAGTCATCAGAATTTCTGAAGATATAATGTTAAAAAACTCCACGTTTTCAACAATGATAAGCCTCCGGAAGAAATGCCGGGTAAGGTCACATACGCCCACAAAAAAGTCCTGACTTATGGCCGAGGTGGATTCTAAGAAGCTCCTTAAGGATCTATGTTCATAAATATGATGGGACTGGAGAAAAAATATTTGTCACCAAAAACAATCCCTAAAAAATTCCCCTTTTTATTCCCCCCACCATAGTATGAAGGGTATATTAAGTTTGTCATTCCGTTTGTAACACCTCAAAATATACATTTTAGACTCTACAAAGTATATATTCTTGATTAGCATAAAATTCTATGTTGATTTAGCGATGTCCGCCCGTCTGTCCTCCTGTCCGTCTTTCCTCTGTGGAAATCACTCTAGCTTCCGAACGAATTGAAGTAGATTGATAAAATTTTACTCAAGTGTATATAATGTCTGCAGGACTTTTGGTATTGAAAATGGGTCATGTAGATCCACGTTTTGGTATAGCCCCCATATAACGGTACCTCCCGATATTCCGTATTTTGGTGATTTTAGCGGCATTATTAACCGGAATTCTTTCAAATTTGGTATTTGATGCTCGTAGTGGATATTACAGCCTATGACAGAAAAGTGTGTATGCAGATTCTCATCTTCGTATAGCCCCCATGTAACGGTAACTCCTGATATTCGGTATTTTGATGATTTTTTCGATATTATTCATCGAAATAGGTTCAAATTTGATATTTGAAGTTCGTAATGGATACTACAGCCTACCTCAGAAAATTGTCTGTGCAGGTCCACGTCTTCGTATAGCCCGGCCCGGCTTAACTTATAACTAACCCACTAACCTCTGACCATGATAGGCCCCTAGATGATCATAATATGCCAATAGAAAAAAAAATCCCTGCCCACGGCAATTATACCCTCACAGAAAATATCATCGAAAACCATGTCGAATATCTGGAAAACGCCTTCAAAAATCACGTCTATAGTCGTGATAGTCCCCCAAAAGAAATCCTTGAAAATTCCACTCTTGTTACCATTCGAAACCACTGTTAAAATTTACCTTTTTCCCCCTCTCCTTATCTGACTGCTGTTCACTTTCCCCTCTCCTGGAAAATATTTGAATATTATGATTGTTTTTTTTTCTTTGTAGTAGTAGTAGTAGTTGTTGTTGTTGCTGTTGTGTCTATATTTACCTTAATGGTTGTCAGTTGCGTTTTGCCTTGCCATCCTGGGTTACTGGTGCGAGAGCGTGTGCAAGCATTTTTTTTCTGTCGCTCTGCAAAGGATAAGGCAAATGACAACAGTAACAACAACAAAAACCTCAACAATATTGTTTGGTTGGTTGACTTTCATGTTTATTTTTAAAGGATATTCTCCCGCTTTGGTGTGCTCCAGTTTGGTTCATTCATTTGGAAACATTGACAAGCAACAGCAACAACAACAAAGTATCAATGGTGGATGGACGGATGGATGGTTGGTTGGTCGGTTGGTTGAATAGATAAATGATTTATTTCCTTTCGTTATTTGAGGTTTCTGCTGTTGGTGGCTCTTGCATAAGTTATCCATCCAACCATTCCAGCCATCCATCCATCCATCCCAGCATGCAAATTATTTAACCAAAGG